ATGTACAAGAGGAACCAGAACCTGGAGAAGATGCTGCAGCAGCTGGCCGCGGGGGAGGACGGCAAGGAGCCCATCGAGCTGGAGATCCCCGGTGCCGACGTGCCCTACGAGGACATCATCGCCACCGAGATCTGAGCCCGCCCTGCCCTGCCCTGCCCTGCCCTGCCCTCCCTGCATCTCGGGGCAGGTGTCTCTCCCCCTGGGGAGGGGGACACGCTGCCCGTGCCTTGTACAGTCCAGCTGAGCCATGTGTTTATCCGGGGGGCTCCCGGCCCCCCCTGCCTGCCCGTCCTGGTGCTGCCTGTCGTGTTACAGAGCTGAACAAGCAACTCGTGCCAGTGGTGACGTGCCAGCAGCTCCCCCCGCCCCGGCAGTGCCCCCTTCTGCCCCTGGGAGGACCGAGGAGCCGGTGATGGGGTGGTCAGGGGACAGGGACTCGGCAGATTATCTCCCATCGATGCACAACGCCCGAGGGGTGCTCTGCTCCAGGCTCGGAGGGATCAGGGCACAGCTCCAGGGACTGGGGACACCACAGCTCCAGGGATTGGGGACACCACGGCCCCCACCCCTGCCTTTGGAAGGAATCAGCCACAGCACATGCCCGGCTCCCTGCAGGAAGCACCACGCTGCTCTCACACCTCCTCACCCTTCTCCGTCTGTGCCAATCCCAGGGCGCGGTGGGACCACGGAGCCACCTCCTGCCAGTGGCACATCCTCTGCCCCCACCCTTGGGCCGCTGCAGTGCCTCAGGAAGGACCCCACCTGCACCCTCCCACCTGGTTAAAGCCAGCACCCACCGAAATCCCCTCTCACTGAAGGGCACAGCCCACCCTGCACCCCCCACTGCACTTCCCTGGATGAGCCACGGCCAGCCCAGCACTCCCTGCTCTGATGGACGAGGACTCGGCGTCCCTTTCCCCAGCTGCCAGGCAGCAGCTGGATTTAAGATGAAAGAGAAGTTTCCCAACCCCAGTCTGACCAAGGAATCGGGGTTATGTTCAACCCACAGCCTCGCTGCGACCGTCCCTCCGGGACCCCCGGCTGCCTTATCTCCTGCTGTGTCCTTACATCCACAGGATCCCATCAAGAGAAGCTGGTTAAAAGAAACCCCCCCAAAAAACCCCACTTTCACTTTATTTTCTACCCCAGCTCTTAAAATTTCCTCCTGCCACCAGCAAGTGGATAACGAGGCTCCACTGAAGGTCACCAGCGGTGACTCCCGTGTCCCCTGTGGCTCAGCACGGCCAGGAGGAGGGAGGGAACCAGCCTGGATCCATCTTCCCAGAGTGGAGGTCTCCAGCCAGGCCCCCTCTGTGCCAATGCAATGATGTTTTCACTGCAGGGTGTCTGTTTACCCACTACCCCAGGTTTTTGGGGCAGGTCTTGCACAACCCCAAAGCCGCAGATTCGGCCGAGGGCTCCAAGCTGTGGACGAGCAGCAGAATCCATCGTCCCTCACACACCATTCCAGCCTGGAAAAGCGACACACACAAACCAGTCTGTGCCTTCTGCACCTGGCCCCGAGCACCCCCAAGTGCATTGCCCCGGTTATCCCGTGGACATCCCGGCTGGGTGTCCACCCCGATCCTTATCCACCCACGGCCCGCCGGAGAAAAGC